TGGGGGTTGGACTGGGAAGACTTGGGTGAGGAGAGCAGTCTGCCCACAGCACCATCTGCATGGGAGGAGCGTTCATCTTAGCTCAGTGCCCCGCTTCCCAACCTCCTGGACGTAGGAGCGGGCAGAGCAGCTGCGGAAGGGCTGGGTGGGTTGGCTTCTTCTCGTGCAGAGCTAGGCTGGCCTGGTGGGGAAGCAGCCAGCAGGGCGATCTGGAGGATGGTCGGCTTCAAGCCACCCGCAGTGTCCCCTTCCCAACGCTGGTGCAGGTGAGCGCAGGGCTGAGCCAGTGGACGTGCCTAGCACAGAGGGTTCCAGACCAACCTGCTCCGGATCTCTGGCTGGCGCAGTAAAGCGGCTCTGATAAGACCCTCGCTAAAGGTGCCTCCATCCCACAAAGGAGGGCAGGGGAGAGCCCAGCAAATCCTTTGACATTTCCCCTTGTCCGAACAATCCTCCCCTCCTTGGGGGACGCCATGAAATGGGAAGCTTTCGGCAGCCTCAGCTGGAGACATCTCTCCCAGCACTGCCGAGAATAGTGAGGTTGGCTGCAGATTAGAAACCACCCTAACGCCTGGGCTCTCTGACCCCGCAGACAGAAGTGCCGCTGGAGGCCGAAGTGGTCCTGTGCTGCTACCGGGCCGTCAATGCCTATTACTACAAATATGCCGTGGATGGGATCAACGTCTTCGCTGTCAGTATCCTTCAGACGGCTGCCTGGCTCCAGTGCCAGCATTGGGGAAACGCCGGTGTTGCTGGGTAACGCGGGTTGGGCGGCCCAGGGCTCCCCTGGGGCAGAGAAGGGATATGGAGGCCCTGAGAACATACAGGAACCTCCTGCAGAGGCGTGCATGCAGCCTCTGTGCTCTGGTGTTCTCCACACATCCCTGATGAGCTCAAGGCAATCCTTCAGCCGGCTCTCAGCAGCTGGCATGCCTAGTGCGGGGTTAGGGGAGAAGGACCTTGCCTTGGATGGAGGCTGGCAGAGGTGCGAGCGGCATACATGTGCTCAGCAGACACTTGCGCTCTCTGACAATGAGGCATGGCCAGGTAGTAGGAAAAACGTGAGCGTTGGCTTCATGGCTAAGGACCAAGCCTGGGTGTTGGGAGATCTGAGTTCAGTCCATCTACATGGACTCTCCTGCCCAGGTTATTTAACCTCCCTCCTGGGATGTGGAGGCAAAGCTCATCCCCGGGCGAGGCGCTCTGGCCCTCGTGATGGGTGCCCCAACATTGCCGGGAAGTGCCCCTTGACCGGCCGCCGCGCAGACCTGCTGCCGCTCGTGATCGTGACTCTGGTTCTGGGCTACGTCGACAGCCACAACCGTTTCACCAGCTCTCCTGTGAAGTTCACCCTCTCGCTGCTCTCCATCATGCCCCTCTCGTACTACATCGGCATGGCCATCGCCAGGTGAGGCCGCGCCTTCTCCCACATCCGGCAGGGGGCTGGGGTTCAAAACAATCCCTTGTGTAATTCCTCCCTCCCCCTGTTCTGAAGCTGCATTGTCACATCTCGCTGGAGTAACAGGGCAAAACATGACTCTCCTTGTCTTCTCTTCCCCTTCCCCCTCCCCCCCAATCTCACACCCTCCTTGCTGGGAGGGGTCCTGGTTGCTACTTGAGCAGATCATTCCTGTGATAGGCCATGGGCTTCTTGTGGCAAAGCAGGCTGTGAAATCGAGCTGAAGGCATGAGCTCCCCGTGGGATTCTTGGACTCCCGGTGGAATGTCACTGTGCGTAGCTGGCTCATCGCTCTGTATCCAGGCCCTGCCCCTGCTGTCTCTGGGGTGGAATATGGAGCCCTCCTATGCAGTGGCGGATTAGCCACTGGGCCAACAAGGCCCATGCCTGGGGGCCCTGGAAAAATGGGCCCAGACCTGCTCCAGTTGAGGTGCAGGGGCTTGTCACACTCCACCCCTCCGCCCAGCACTCCAGGCGGAGTGGGGCAAGCCCCGGCTGGAGTGCCAGGCAGAGCGGGGGGCACTGCAGGCGGAATGGGTGGGGAGGGGCCCCACTTGCTCTAGCCCAGGGCCCCATAATACCCTAATCTGCTCCTACACTAACCCCGCAGGCTGTTCTAGAAAGGGTGGCCGCATGCGGTATCCGCGGCAGGAAAGCTTGCCGAGATGACGCTAAGCTGTCCAGCCACGTGTGCGGCAGCACAGCCAGTAGCCCAGGGCCCCGTAGCACCAGGCAGAGCCACTGACGTGACCCCACTTCCAGCAGCTCTTGGCTGGTCCTCGGGTTTCCACTTCAGTGCTGCCCTGTTTAGCTTGAGCGTGCAGCACAAAGGGGCGTAACGACAGCCCTGCTGGGGAACAGATTTGTAGAGGACGGCGGCACCCTCCCTAAAACAATCAGACGTGCCCTAAAGTCCCTTTGTGAGGGCTGGGAGCCAGGTGGCTCCAATATAGAAGGTTGCACCAGTAGCCGGAATTCTCCTGCTCACGCTGAATGATCCATCAGACTCCACCCAGGAGCTGTCTCCAGCCTCCCTCTGCTCACTAACCCCCTGCCTTCGTGTGACTTAGTATTTCAGCTCAGAGTAACTTTGCGGTGGGGGCTGTGGTGAATGCCTCCTTTGGCTCCATCATAGAGCTGACCTTCTACATCACGGCGCTGATCAAGGGCTCCCGGGAAGGGAACAAGTGTTACGAGGAGATTGTGAAGTCGGCCTTGACGGGGACCCTGCTGGGCTGTGTCCTCCTCGTGCCGGTGAGTCTGGCTGGAGGCTCGTGGCCTGGGGCTGTGCTCCGGGCTCCGCTGTCGGAGCGGGCAGCTTCTGGTAGTTCTGCCATCAGACTCGCCCCCCCGCCCCCGGCCAACCTTTTTCCTCTTAGAACAGGGGCAGGCAAACTTTTTTCTTGGCCAGAGGGCCACGTTGGGGTTGCAAAACTGTATGAAGAGCCAGGTAGGGAAGGTTGTGCCTCCCCAAACAGCCTGGCCCCTGCCTCCTATCTGCCCCCTCCCACTTCCCACCCCATCACTGCCCCCCCTCAGAACCTCCAGCCAATCCACAGCTCCCCCCCGTTCCTTGTCCCCTAACTGCCCCCTGCTCCCAGTCCCCTGACTGCCCCGCCCCCTGACAGGCCCCCTCCGGGACTCCCACACTTATCCAACCCCCCCCCCCCCAAACCTCTGCCCTATCCAACCGCTCCCTGTCCTCTGACCGCCCCCTGGGACCCTCCGCCCTTTATCCAACCCCCCCGGCCCACTTACCATGCTGCTCAGAGCAGCATGTCTGGCTGCCACACCGGCCGGAGCAAGACACGCTGCCGCTCTGCTCGACAGGAGCGCACCGCTCCGCCGCCCAGAGCGCAGCCTGTGTGGCGGCATGGCTGCAGGGGATGGGGGACAGCAGGGGAGGGGCCGGGGTCTAGCCTCCCCGGCCGGGAGCTCAAGAGCCGGGCAGGACAGTCCCGCAGGCCGGATGTGGCCCGCTGGCCGTAGTTTGCCCACCTCTGCCGTTTGAAATGCACCTCAGCTGAGGCGGCCCAAGGCTCAGGCGTGATAACTGAGTGTCCCCTGTTCCTTCCAAGGGCTTGTGCATGGTGATTGGAGGCATCCGCCACCAGGAGCAGAGGTTTAACAGCAGATCGGCAGGCGTCAGCTCTGCCCTGCTCTTCCTCTCCGTGGGAGGTAAGCAAGAAACTGGCCATGTGCTGAAGCCCTGGGTACAGAAATGAGACAGAAATGCACAGTCTCCTAACCTGAACGTGTTGGCCGCACGCACTGACCATGCCTGTCTCTTACAGGCTGTCCCCATCTTCCGATCTCAAGGCCTCTCCAGTGAAGCCTGGCTCTGCTGCAGGGCTCCAGCCTTGAGGGATAAATGTACCCTGTGCACATCCCCTGGGGGTTATGACCTAGGTTCAGGCTGGTTTTGTGGCGCTCCATCTCTGCTCCGTCCCTTCGATTGGCAGCGCCCATTGCAAATTTGGGACAGTGTCTGGAGTTGCACACTGCTCACAGCCCATCATTGCAGGGAGGTGCCCACAGTTCCGGGGAGCTGGGTGGGACACCCTCCTGTGCATAAAGCAGCTCCTCGAGCTAGAGGTGGGGTGCCCTGAGCAGGACGTATCGCCCCTCTTACTTCCCCTGGGTACTGGACACCTTGACTCCTAGGGGGGTTACTTCCATCCAGCTGGCTGGCATAAAATGGGTTTGGCTCTGCCTAGGTCCTGGGAGCGGACAGGTGTCCACTTCAGAGTGGCCATGCAGTCAGGATGTGTTGCCTTTTATCAAAAAGCCAGGGATTGAATAGACACAAACTCTACTCTTGTGTAGGGAGTGGGGCCCTCGGGGAATGGTCAGAGCACACTGGCGGGGAAGCGTGTACTGTTCCTTGGACAGAGGATGTGTGTTCCTGGGCTCTCTGGTGGGTTGGGAACAACCTATTAAAGGGACTGTTATTCCCTAATGGCCCGTCTCCAGGCATGGTGGCCAGATGGAGGGGGGATAGGCGGGAATTCCTCTTAGCCAGCTGCTGGAGAGGAGAATCGGCACTTATTTGGCCCGCAGCGAAGTGGGACTCTGTGCTCTGCAGTTCATTCAGTCTCTGCAGCCGGATGTGGCCAAAGTCTTGATCAGCTTCCCAGCGGAAGTGTGGTGTCTCTTGCACCCTCTTCCTCTTGCCCTGGGTCTCGTCGCCAGTGTTAGCCGACGGTGTGGTGTGAAACCCCCCGGATCCATTCCAACCCACCTTTCTCTCCCCTGACAGGCGTGTTTGCTCCAACTCTGTTCTCCAAAGTCTATGGGAGGCTGGTCTGTGGCGAATGCCAGAACATTACCCAGAGTCCAGCGGGACACTACCTCTGCCAGAACTGCCACTTTGACCTGGTAGGTGGAACCCTGGACACCTACATGTATTCGCTCTTGTACAGGCCACATCTCATGGGCCTGGTGACCTGTAGATACCACTGCCCAGCCATACAGGGGATCTACCGCCTGACCCCTGGCCTCTTCACGCTTGCAGTGCCCATGACTGCTTAGCAGTGCCTGCCCCTTGATGGGGGCAGGGTGTAGCCGACAAGGGCCAGACTTCTCTGCAAATCAGTGACTCCTCCAGGTGAGATTGGTGGCTGCTGCAACATGGGTGGTCTTCGTGCATTACAGAGGCTTCCAGGTGGGGTTGGGAACAGGAAGGACCCCGTTGGGGGTGGGGTGTCCCCTGCTAGACCATGACATTCTGTGATGCCTGGTGTACAGTATGTTCTGAATTCAAGTAACTAGAAAAACCTGCACTCACGATCAGCAGGCAGCTGCTCAAGAAGAGGAGGAGGGCCTTGCTTTTCTGGACAGCACAAATGCTGTACAAAACTACTGGTCCTGTACACCAAAATGCAGCCACCTCTAGGGTGGAGGCATCTTGGAGGTCTGCATCTTTACAGGCCAACTCCTTGTGGTGCATTGGTGGTCACTCCTGACTAGACTTTCCTGTGCTTGGCGGTAACTAATCACTGAGGACTGAGCTGTGCGTGGAGGGTGTTCTGTGTGCGCCTTCAGGACTCAAAACACTCCAGTGTGCCAGCCAGAGTTACAGAGCAGGTTGGTCCAGTTCTTAGCTTCTGGTAGTTGGCATTCCTAATTCCTCGCTTGCATCCTGAGGCTGCTGAGGAAAGAATATACTGAGATCACATGGAATGGGGAGGTCTCTTATTAATCTGATCACTTCTCTCCACTGCATGCACCCAGACTCCTTGCTTCCTCTTGGGGAGCTAAGTGTTCTGTAAGACTCTAAATGCTCTGTGAGATTCCAGATCAGTGTCTCCAGCCTGCCCCGCTAACTTAGGGGAGAATAATCCTTTTGATAACTGCAAACTCAACCCAGCTTGAGACTCTGATCCCATGCTATTGCCATCTTGTGCCCAATCTCCAGAAAGAGGGTCTGAGGACCACAATAGTTCCTCAAATTCATCTGCAACTCCTTCTGCTTCAGGAAGTCCTCGACACTACCCTCTGCATCCGTTCAGACTTCAGCTTCACAGTCTAAATGTTCAGCCTTTGTCCTGGTGGCCTCCTCCCGCTTCCAGCCGACTGAAGGGTTCCAAGAAGCAACAGCCCCTGTCTGGGCTGGACTCCGTTCCGGCAGCCCTCAGTCAAGCCCCAAGGCGTCGTGTGGCCGAACTGAGGGCTGGGTGGTTGGATCCCACTGTTCTGGTTCCAGAAGAAAGGTCGAGGACCAGTTCAGTACCACTTGCCTCACAGCAATCTGACCCTAACATTGCAGCTGCAGGACTGGAGTCTGTCCCAGTTGCCTGGAAGATGGGTGTAAGCAGTGCCTTTGAATTAGGACCATCAGTGTCTTCGGTGCCGCAGCATCTGAGACGGAGGAAAAAGCCACATAGGAGCAAGACAGCCAGCATGCACTCTGATACGTGGGAACCAGAACTGCTAGCAGATTCCATCTGATCTTTCATTGGGACACAACCGTTCCGAAGCAGAGACTTGTTCCACCTCCAGCTTCAGTCACTGAAGAGAGGAGCTCACAGGGGCCATCGGATCTAACTGTGGCCAAACCTTTGGCTCTGCAGTCGTTTCCTGATCCAGTCTGTCAGTTCCGCACAGTTCTGGTGCATGCCTTGGATCCTGGTGCAAGGCGCATGGCTCCTGAAAGGAGGCATGTATCCTTGGTTCCAAGATTGTCCTTAGTCACTTCCTAGGAAGAAGAGACTGGATCCCGCTGGCTCTTCCCTGGACCTTTCTCATCCCTCCTCTCAGGCTTCCAACAGGGCCTCAGCAAAGAGCAGGATCCCCATTCCTCCCTCTGCATCGGTTACTATCCCTGGGACGCTTTCTCGGGTCCCGACCTGGACCTTCTCCCGGAGGAGGATAGAGGAAGAACTGACCTGCAGCGAGGTTCTGACCACCCTTTTGGTCCAGCCCCTATTGGCATGTTCCTGACACCCAACAGTAGGGGAGACTTGGCAGTCCCGGGGCCTTAGTGGGGGACCACCACAGGTCCTCTCCAGCTTATCTTCCACGTGGATGGAAAGGGGACACATCATCTGCAAAGAATCT